GCGGCGCTCCAAGCAAAGAGCGGTGCCAAGAAAGGTTTCAGCCAAGCAAGCAAACGAGTCACGAAATTCAACCGCCCAATGAACTCGGTGAGCTGGCGCCCGGTCACCATCCATTGTGCCTGTTCAGCTTGGTTGATCCATTCAATGATCCAAGTTGCACGTTTCTCTGAGATGCCTGCTGACCAAGTGTAGTAGCAAAGATGATACCCGATGTAATCGACATTCACGCCCCCTTTAAACTTATGGAAAGAAAAAGGAGTGCCCATGATTTCCAGCGCAAGAAAAAGGATCCAAAGGGTTTCAAACTTGTCACTGCCATACACCACCACGTGAAGATCATCAACGTACACAAGCATGTAAAACTTGTCCAAATGCAACACGCGAAAGGCCCACCGCCCTACTGCGCCAAATAGGCGCGTCCAGTAGTAGGCGGCGGAACTCACGCCAAACGTCCCAACCTTGTTGAGCCATAAGACGCGCGAAGCACTGGATGACTTGCATGCCAAACGTGGCCAGTCGCATTCTCGCACCTTTACGTTGCGATGCGCGTGGCTGATGTCTGCACATAGCGAACACGGCGCCTCCTTGCTTTCCTTCACCCTCGAAGCAACCTCCTGCAAGTCCTCTGGCCCAGGGACCTGTAGCTTGTCCAAGATGACAATACTGCTGTTCAAGTTGATGCCGTGTGTTCCGTCATGCAGCGGTCTGACATCACCATTAGCTTTAGTCACTGCACCCATTGCGGCGATGAGCACGGCTTCGGAGCCGTACTTCCGCCGAGCCTCTGGTTCAGTAGTACACAACATCATTCCGGCCTGTTCATCCTGTCTGAACTTTTCTTCAAGCTGTGCTGCATTTATCTCCGCGGAGCGATAATTGACCATCGAAGGGTCAAAGTCGCTTTCGTCGAGCTTCCTGAAGTGAGTACGCTTTGGGAAGACCTGAGGCGTTCTGGCAATCGGCTTGTCCCACCCCAGGGGTACCCCTTCAGCAAAACTTTCGTTGCCCTGATCAAGTATCTCGTAGTCCGGGTCACCCAAGATCTTAAGTGACTGCGAAAGCATGTGCAGCATGAAGGGCTGCCCATCAGGTTTACACAAAGCCTGTTCAGGATCAGGTAAAGTCGCAGCCATCCGAGCCCTCACATCATTGATCAGCTTTTCGCTGAAAGGTGACTTGATCAGACGGCCTGTTGCAAGTGCAAAAGCAGCCTTCCTCAGATCGAGAATAGCCTGATGAACTGCCTCTGCGAGAACCTTTCGAATCTTACCCGCATGATCCCATTCTCCAGAGCTTGCCAACGCATTCCTGGCCAAGGGACGCCAGCGGCCTGGCGAGCATAACCCAAACCCATCCACCAAGTCTCGCCACTGAGTGTGCCTGCATTTAATCGGCGGGCCCCGGCATCGCGATGTGTTCGGGTCAAAATCTCCAGAGTCATCGGCCTCCTCCACGCCTTCTTGAAGGGTTTGCTCAAGTGGTGACATGGCACTAGGTGAAGCCGACGGAGTGGGCCCCTCCGTCGGGGTGCTAACGTGGGCCACTCGGGTGGACCCTCCCGAGGGGGTGCTAAGGTCGGCTGGGGCCCCGGATGCGGCTGCATCTCGAGGGGTGCTAAGAGGTGGTTCTTGTCCGTCTTCGTCGAGTGCATCCCCCCCCTTTAGGTGAGAGGAAGCGGGCAAGACAAAACCTAAGTCGCGCAATGTGGCAAGATGGGTTGACTCAAGCTGCAAGGCATCGGAAATGGTAAAACCCACAAGAAGCAGCCGTTCGCCCGTCCACGGTTCGGTCTGATGGTAGCATTGGTGTGCCATCAGCCTTTGCGGAGATTCCGCGACCGGGAGCAAGCGACCTGGCTTGAAAACACCACGCACCTCTCGGAAGATTGTGCCAGCAGCATCCTCGGTCCAGACCTGTCCATTAGTGAAGCTTGAGAGGGCCAGCAACAAGTTGGGATGGGGACCATTTCTGGAATCTCTCAGCTTGCACATTCAAGAAAACACCAAGTGAACTGAAGACCTCCCCAGGAAAGTGTGCTCGCAGAAGTCGAGTGAAGCACTGAAGAGACTTTGGGAAAGCAGTGCAGCTCTTCCGAAGACCTTTGAAGGGGCCTTTGCGAAAAGCCCCTCCGAAGAATGCCTGATCACCTGAATCGCTAGGCATTTGCACGGCAGGATGCGCCGCCTCCAGCGGCAGCAACTTAAACAGAGCTTCGGCATCATGCAAACTGATTGGTTCATGTTTTGTCAAAAGAAATTCAGCAAAGGCCTCGGCACCTTGGAACGACCCGTCAGTTGAGCGATGATCACAAGTCGAGCAAAGCAGCATGTTCGCAAGCTCCTCAGCGAAAGCCGAGGGCAGGGCTGAACTGGTGGCCCAGTCCGAACCCTGACGCCCTACCTTGTTCTCATGCACATGGGGACAGTGTCCCAACGGCCCTATGTAGAATCCTGATTCATCAAAGGTGGGCCACTGTGGTTCATAAGGCCCCTGCGACACGTCAGTGGCCACCCTTGTTGGGTGTGCTGCATCTGCACCATATGCACACAGATGCACAGCCCAAGTTGCTGCACATGATGCGTCCTCCAACACTGACCTGA